GTAGGTGCGGGTGCCCAGCCGTTCCACGGGCGGGTAGTCGAACAGCTCGGGGATGCACACCATCACGATATGGAAGTCGAAGGGGGAGCCAAGGACCTCCGCCATCCGGAGGACGTCGATCCACCTCGGCGGCGAGGCAGCACGGTCCTGCAGGGAACCTTCGAGGGGACGAAAACCTAGCGGGGGACAGTTGGGTCGTCCCGGAAAGGGGAGGGTGCCCGAAGGGTCCAGGAGAAAGGTCGCGAGCGCGGCGGCTCGAAGGGTCCAGGCCCCATGACCCCATGGGGGTCTGCAGAGGGAAAGGTGCCCCCCCCCCCCAGCGCGAAGTCCTCGCGATGACCTCCGACCCCCGGGGCGCAACTGCCAGGGGGAAGAGCTCCAAGTTCCCAGGAGTTGCAGCGCCCCTGGTGCCCCCGCACGAGGCTGCGATGACGGACCTGGCGGGGGACTGGGAGGGCCAGGACGGACAGGAAGCGGGGGCAGGGTGGGCGGAGAGAAAGGGGGCAGTGGGGAGAGAAGGGCAAGACCGAGGCAAAAGCCATGCAGGAGCCGTCCGAATCCTCCTGGGAGACCAGGGTCCCCGAGGACCCCAGGGAAGGGGGTTCAATCGCCCCCGCCGGGAATTGATTGCCTCCCCGGATCCACGAAGGCGCCCCAGACGACGGAGCGATCGAGGTGTTGAGCTCGGCCGTCAGGTCGTAGATCGACGACTGCAAGGCGTCGTCGAGGGCCGCCCCGATGCTCCTCGCGCGGGTCTGCGATGAGCCCAACTGTAACCCAGGCTTGTCACTCTCGCCGTCCAGCAGCAGGGCGCGCAGCCCTGGCCTCGAACCTATCCACGATGAGCCTGGCAGCATCTCCGTCGCAACTGGGGGTCTGTCGACGGCGTCGCAAACCGCCCAGGACGGCCTGGCGACCGAAGCGTTGAATTCGACGGCCAGGTTGTAGATCGTCGTCCGCAGCGCGCCGAGGGCCTCCGCGGTGCTGTCGATGCGGTCCGTGGCCTGACCGACGTGGGGCCAGAGGATGGTTCCGTACATAAAGCTCTCGTTCGGCGCCTCGGGCGGGATGGGCTCCTGGGTCGAGGGAGCCTGAGGAACCCTACAGGGGATCGCAATAAAGACGACTCCGCTCTTCGTCATGATACATCGGCGGGAGGGTGGACCCAGTTGGGGGGCAGGAGGGCCAGGACCGAGAGGGAGCGAGGGCAGGGCGGGCACAGGAAAGGAGAGGCAGAAGGGAAGGAAGAGAGAACAGGGAGGAAAAGAGGGCAAAACATAGGAAAACGCCGTGTCAGATTCATCTGGGCCATGCCGAGAATCCGGAATCCCCGAGGCCACTGGGGAAGAGGGATCGCTCAGTGCCGCATGGATTTGGAACCCTTTCCAGGTCCACGAAGACGCCCGAGACGAGCCCGGCGCACGCGCCAGCGAGGCGACCGGGCAGCCGTAGGCCAGAAACTCCAGCTCCAGCTCGGCCCAGGCAGATGCGGGGGGCGGGGCTGCAGTGCCATCGGTCACTGTGGTGCTCGTTGGTCGGACTTGTGGGCGGGGTGCGTCGGGGAGTCGGTCGTCCAGCTGGGGCGGTGGGTAGGGCATCCTGCTAGGATGCGGCGTCGGGTAGGGCGGCGTGCTGGGGCGGGGCGTCGGGTAGGGCGTCAGGCTAGGGTAGGGCGTCGGGCCGGGGTAGTCCGTCGGGTGGGGCGTCGGGATCGAGGGCGTCGGGTTGGGGTGGGGCGTCGGGTAGGGCGTCGTGCTGGTGCGGGGCGTCGGGTGGGGCGTCGGGATGGGGAGAGGCGTCGGGTGGGGCGTCGTGCTGGGGTAGGGCTTCGGGCTTCGATCAGGCGTCGTGCTGGGGAAGGGCGTCGGGTAGGCCGCTCCGGTGATCGCTGGTCGATCTCGTATGGAGGTTGCGTCAGGGAGGCGATCATCCGGCAGACAGGGTCGAACGGGCGTCTGGGGTCGTGGGAGCGGGCGGGGGTGCGAGCAAGCAGACGCAGAGGGCAAAGGAGGGCAGGAGAAAGAGAGAGTCTGGCCTGCGTCTGTGGGATAAGACTGGGCTGGCGGCACGGAAGGGCACTGCATGCACGTAGATCGGAAGCACCGTGACATTACCACGACCGCCTCCGAGATCTCCAAATTCGGCGCCGCGCTGAGTACTTCGCACGGCGTGCGCCACGGACGGAGAGGACAGGCAACGAAGAGGAGCGAGGACGTGGTGGAGCGGGGAGGAGTTAGCGGGCGCGGGTGAGAGCAGGGAGCAGCGGGGTAATCATCGTGCCCCTCACTCCGAACAAAAAGGCAAAAATCGTAGATCGAACTACTGGGTTCGGGGGGCTGCCAGGCGCCACACACAAAAGCATGCGTAGTCAAAGAGGTGGGGCGTGGAGGAGCAGCCGGGTTGAGACAAGAAGTCGAGGGGCAATAAGTACAAAGAGCGTGCCATTCACCGCATCCGCGAGCTTCACGACCCCGCGAGCAATCACGCCCAGCTGGGGCCTCGCGCCGTCAACGTTCACCTGGCCTGGATTCTTGGGGATGGTCGTCGTCAGCGAGTCGAGCCGGCGATCCTGCTCGAGAGGAGCGGTGGGGCCCTGGGCGCTGACGGCGCCGCCCTCGGTGTTGTCGGGGAGCCCCGTCCTGGCCTCGCTCGGCTTGAGGAGCACGTCGCTGGCCGCCCTGGTGGCGAACGCGTGCGTCACGTCGCTGCGCAGGTCCTCTGGCAGCATCTGGTCCATGTCACCACTGGGCGCGAACAGGGCGAGGTAGCCATAGGCCAAGGTCATGGCCAGGAGGGCTGGCAGCCCCAGCGCGAAAGCCCCTGGGCGGCGCCAGACAATTGCTGGCCTCTTGGGCTTGGCGGCGCCGCTGCGCTCTGCCAGAAGCGGCTCGGCTGGCGTCGTCGTCGATCCAGGTGCCGTCTGCGATGCCCTCGTCGGAGGTAGACGCGCCCAACTGGTCCCCGTTTTCATGTCAAAGCGGACTTCTGGACCGGGTGGGAGCGCTACGCCTGACGGCACAGGCTTCCAGGCAGCGGTGGCCTCGAAGCGATGAGCGCGTGCGGCAGCCTGCATGCGGGCCTTCATGAGGAGCCGCACGAGGTCCGCTCTCTCGCAGGCGCCAGCCGATGACACCTCGGCTGCGGCCAGGGCGTGCTTCAGCTCGCGGATGCCCATGCTGGAGACCTCTTCCGCGATGTCCGCCGAGGCCGCCGCACGACCGCTGCCGCCCTCGTGCTGGCCATGGCCAGGGCCGCAGCAACGGCAGGACCGGCCGCCGCTGTAAGCGGCGCGCATCATGGCGCGCGTCCGGAGAGCCGAGGGGACGGGAGTGGAGGGGAAGGGAGGGAAGAGAAGACAGGCTTTCTTGCCGGCCGCGCTGGCGGACGCGAGCGCGACGGCAGAGCCAGCGGGCTTGAGCCAAAAGGGAGAGGATGAGGAGGAGGAGGAGGCAGAGAGGTAAGAGACGGAGGAAAAAGAAGAGGACGAGCGAGAGACGAAGGAAGATGAGTAGAAATAGGAAGATACTATGGGAGCGTAGGCTGAAGATGAAGACGAAGCGGAATAGAGACGGCGGGGGAGGGAGACGGGAACGGCGAGGAGATGAGGAGAAAAGAAAAGGGGGGGAGCCCGACGGTCGCAACGCCAAAACTTCACGCGCTCCAGACGAGCAATCCGCGAAGCGAGGGGAATCGACAACATGGCTCAGCCTGGGGTCCAGCGGCAGAAGGCGCAGCCTTTCATATAGCTGTGTAAGTGCATACACACTGGCAGCATGCATACGCATGGGCAGGTTTACCTCGCACTGCGAAGCATTACGTCTAGATACGCAGGGGCAGAGGATGCACAAGTAGAGAATCAATCGTGAGGACAAGCGCGTGCGTGGGCCTGGATGTGTGAACATACGGATAAGCAAAGAACCCAGGCTGTCCCAGTTATGTAAATCAAAATGTGCGACCCACGGATTTTTGGGCTTGTAACACCATATGTGTGTTACCATGTGGTTAATTTGGCAAACAGGCTGAATGCACTAAACTGACTCAGAACGCTCGGGTACCTGAACGTGTGCCGGACGAAAGGTGGGGATGGTATCAAGTGGTCCAATTATGCCAGGTCGGTTCAAGTCATGATCCATTCAGTGTATACCCAACTATACATTCGGAAGTTACTGAGTGACTGGGCAAGCAGGTACGAAATTCACGACATGAGTGAACCTAAGAACGAAACGATCGACTAACGACGACGACAGCGCAAGGCTGATGAGCTGGCCTCCCGTCCTGCCAAGGAGGCCACGTGACCCTTCGGCCCCTGGTCCGGTGGCCCAGTTGCCAAGTGGCCCAATGGCCCGCGAGACCATGTCGGGGGAAGGGGGGGGTCGGGGAACCATGACGCGCGTCAACTGTAACGAAGCTCCAAAGAAGAAATAGCCTCTCCGGGTCTGACTCCAGATGGCCGGGTGCGCCAGCAGGGCTACGGCGCACTCCTCGCGAGAGGCGCCAGTGGAAAATGAGCTCGGCTCTCTTGGCTGTCGATTTGCCCGTGCGTGTTTTACGACCAGAAAAGAGCGCTATCCCTACCTACGCTGACGTCCCCTCGAAAGTAGCCGCCATGGATGATATCTTTGTGGCCAGCACGTCGAATCGAAGGGAGCCCTCGGACAGACCCGCAATGGCAAACTGGTGCGAGAGAATACAAAGTGGCTTAAAGCTCTTGTGGAGCACGCTTGGCTTACGCCTGTTGAGGCCGTGGGGAAAGAGATGCAGTCAACGGAAAGTCAGACCTCTTAAGCACATTGCTTATCCGTACACCCCTGAATCCAGCGATCACTGCCAGCCAGCGATCACTGCGTGCCACTTCTGCTGCCCCTGTCGCGCATGACAACAATCTGACAACAATCTTCCATGGCAGCCACCCATCGATTCACTTTGCACACGCAGCCGATCCCTGTCTACATAACTTCGTCATGTCTTCCTGAAGCGTAATCGTTCTTTCAGCCAGGCGCCTCATATCGACCTTCATGTCGTGAGGCGTGAGGCCAGAAGGTACCTGAACCCTGACGCTTGCGCAAAGAACAGGAAGACGACAAAAGAGCATCAGCAGACGAGGTGGTGAAGGCCGTCGCAAGCCAGTGCAGATGCAGCATGATCTCACTTCGCAGCAGGAAGCACACAGACGGTGAAGGCTCGACGAGCAGCGCGCGCGCCCTGGAATCAAACACGGTCTGGAAAGATGGCAGACGCCCAGATTGCTAGGCCTCGCTCTCGCTGTCCTCCCACCCACGCGCACCCTTCCCTGTGATAGGGTTGTTTGGGAAACCAGTCGCTGCAAAAGAGCGCCCGCGCCCTATGGCGGAGGCTAGCCCTCCTCCTCCTCCTCCTCCTCCTCTTCCTCCTCCTCCGGCGCCTCCACCTCCACTCTGACAAGCTTCCTGAGGCTTTAGCACAGCCCAGCGTCACCCGAAGCCAAAATCTTGCCGCACGACACAGCCCTGGCTGGG